AGGGGGGGTGGGTGCCCAGCCTGTCCCCAGGGGCCTCTCTGGATCTTGGGCTTACCCTCTAGCCTGGGATGGACAGAACATGGGATAGGATGATGTGTGGGTATAAGTGTGTGGGTAGGGGGTTGTGTGTGGAGAGCAGGGAGGGAATCAGTGGCTGGGATGGAGAGGGTAGAGACCCAAAGATAGCATAGCCCTGGAGAAGGGATGGTTAAAAGGCAGAAGGACCCCGGCATGGCTGGAGCCCAAGGGGAAGGACTGCCTGGCTTTTTGGGGGAGTTGGATATGGAAAGTGGGGAAGTGGGAATCTAGCCTGGAGATGAGAGCTGGCGCCCTTGACCTTCAGATGAGGCCTCCCCTGTGTGTTCTCACTGACCACCTGGTGCTGGGGTGCTGGGGACTCGGAACTCCTGCAGCTGTCATGGGCGTGGGGGTTCTACAAGTGCCTGTCACTCCCCCCCACTCCCCCACCCCTGCCTGGTTGCTAATCCGATGGTTCCGGCTCTGCCCTCTGAAGGACTGGCAGGCTGGGCCTGGAGGGGCGGGACAGAGTCAGAGGCCTAGGAGCTCTGGGAGGCTGGATCTAGGACAAGAGCAAGAAGGGGTGGGGCCATGGACCATGTCATAGGGCTGCCTCCTGGGCTGTGTGCGTGCTTGGTGACGCGGGTGCACAGGCTGGTGTGGTCACACTGCAGGGGCAGTGAGGCTGGGAGGCTTGACAGCTCTGACTTCCGGGAGCTCTCTGGAAGCAGGGGCTGGCCCTAATTCATCTTCACAGGCATCGCCAGGTGCGCCCGGCCAAGCTTGAGATGGATGCTCACACTCAGAGGTGTTCTCTTGAGGCCGCATGACAACCCTCAGCTCTGACCCACCACATGGGGACTGGATGAAGTTCCGTACCTCGCCACTCTGCACGCGCCATCCTGGCCACGGGTCAGTGAGCCCAGAGATGAGGGTAACTCAGGCTGGTCCCACAACCAGGGAGAGCTGGGGTTGGGGTTCAGACGCTGCCACACAGCTAAGTCCACTTGATGGCCCTGGCCTGGCACCCCTGTTGTTTCTCCCAGGCGACTCCTGTCTTCCTTGCAGCCCCTTGCTCTGGCCTGCCGCTGTCTCGCTGAGTCACCACCTAAGCTCTCTGAGTCTTTGGGGACTGCCCCTTTCTCTCCACGCACACGCAGAGCCTCATGCACCGCTCTTCCAAGCCTCGTCCCCAACTCGATGCCTTTCCTCTAACGGTCTCTGAGGCTGTGTCCAGCAGGCGGGTGGTAGAAATCCTGGTCTTAGGCCCTGTGTGATAGCGTAGCGGTTAAGGTCCTCGCCTTGAACACACTGGGATCCTATATGGGTGCCAATTCTAATCCTGGTGGCCCCCACTTCCCATCCAGCTCCCTGCCTACAGCCTGGGAAAGCAGTGGAGGACGGCCCAAAGCTTTGGGACCCTACACCCACATGGGAGACCTGGAGGATGTTTCTGGCTCCTGGCTTTAGACTGGCTTGACTCCAGCTGAGGCCCCACTGACCCCTCTCCGGCTCCTCATAGAAAGCCCCCAGCTCTAACTGAAACCTCTCTGTCCTTCCCTTGGTTTCAGGGCAGGATCCAGCTGTTTGATTTGAGGAAGCTTTACCCACTCACCTAGCCCTGAGGCTGTGAGAGCCCTCCTTAAGCATTCTTTGTGCTCCCCTTATCCACTCCCGAGGTGCCCCAGCAAGCTCGGGATGGGACACGGCTTGCAGGTAGGAGAGCTATGGACAGAGGCCTGTGCCTGGGTTGAGTGGCCTCCTTGACTCCCAAGAATCCTCCCGTCACGTCATCATATACAGCTGGGGGTTGGGCCTTGGGTGCATCAATTGAAGGACTGGTTAGGACACCTGATCCCCCTCCATATCAGAACATCCATCTTTACAACTTGCTGCTCATGCACAGCCTAGGAGGCAGCAGGTGTCCCTGAGTCCCAGCCACCCCGAGGGGAAGACCTGATGGGAAACTTGGCTTCTGGCTTCTGCCTGGCCCAGTCTCAGCCATTGTGGGCCCTTGTGAGGGCGGGGAATGAACCAAGAAGACAGGAGCTGTCCAGTCTCTTGTCTCTTTGCTTTCCTCCAAAGCACGCAGATTCTGGGTGGTTTCCCATGGTTGGCATTCAGAAGCTCACGCAAAACGAATCCCAGCATTCACACCAAGGCAGTCCCTTGCTGCCTGGCGTGCCCTGTGGCCCACAGGCGTGGCAGCGGCCTGACCTCTGGGGAGCCTCTCATTTTCAATCTCAATGGGAAGTGACTCGAAAGGAGGGAGGCCTCAAGGGCAACAGATGCAGCCGGGTGGAGACAGCCACCACTGGCACAGAGGAGGAATCTCTTTTTTCTCTTCTCCAGCCTCTTCACTCATCTTTATGATTCTCCGTCTTGGGGGAGAGCACTGGATGGGGAGTCCAGAGAGCAGGAGCCCAGCCTCAGCTCTGCCACGGTGTGTGTGTGTGTGTGTGTGTGACTCCAGGTTTGCCAGCCAACTTGGCTCACAAAGTTCCCTGTGGGTCGACAGCCTGTCTCTTCCTGCCCCCACCACCACCACTGAATCCCCCCTCCGTGTTGCATCCCTCCTGCCCCACCAGGCCAGCCGGGGACCTGATGGGGTGGGAGAGGTGCTGGGAGGGGCTGCCTCAGAGAAGTGAAGGGATCCTAGAGGACCCCCGCCTCTTGCTCCTCTTTTCCCACCTTCCCAGCCCTGAGCCTGGAAAGGGGGTGAGGCGGCAGCAGGGGGAGGAGGAGGTGACACTGCCAGAGTTCTTTTTCTCACCCAAGCTGGCAGGAGGGCGGGCCTGGCAGGAGTGGCGACACGAGGGCAGCTCAGCCTCTGTTTTTTTCACAAGCACTTTCTTTTTTGGGTGGAAGAAACTGGAGGGCGGGTGGGCGGGAAGGGATCTGAAATGGATGAGCCCAAGCCTTTAATCCCCCATGAGGTTATGGGAGACCACCCAGAGCCCTGTCCCCACCTTCCTCCAGCCACAGGTGCCCAGAGCTGCCGGATGCTGTGATTAGCATCCTTCCTTATGCTGGAGAGCTGAGCTGGAGCTCCCATGGTCCTGCACAAAGGCAGGGGGACCATCCAGGTCTAGGCAGGGAGGTTCCTCCACAGGGACTCCAGAGCCCAGCACTTAGCAACAATGTCTCCAGGCAGACCTGTCCATACTTAACAATTTCACAGCTGCTCAGGCCGGGAGTCTTACTGACATCTATCTTGTTTCCGCACAGTAGCGGAAGGTCCCTGGCCCCAGTGTCTTCTCAGCAGAGCTGCCCCAGTTGCAATGGCAGGCACAGGCTTCCGCCCTCCTCAGGGAGACATGGGGAGATGGCTGGAGGAGGTCAGCTTCATCCCCCACCCCCCACCCCACCCGTCTATGTCCTCAAGGGGGCATGCCCTGATTCTCTCCCTCTCTGCTCTCCCAGTGTCATGCCTGCCTCCTGGGGTCCTCAACCTCACGTTCCCTGCCAGTCTGCCTCTTGGTTCAGCTCTAGTTGGGAGCAGAGAGTCCCAGTGGGACCCTGAGGGTGAAGCCCTGTGGGGCTGAGACAGAAACTAAAGAGCGAAAGAGTGCAGAGATAGGGCCAGCCCCCAGGGGATGCTCAGGAGGGCAGGGGTGGTGGGGAGAGGCAAGGTTAACTAACCTAATGGAACTGTGTTGAAGTATAATGCTCTTTAAAATATGCATCCCATTGGCATGCAACAAATTCTGTGACACCTTAATGAATGAAAAAAAAAAAAAAACACCCACATGGCAAAGCAGCAAGTGTGGTGTTTCTATAGAGTTCTACATTGTTGTGTGTGCAAGGAGTGACATCTGTGTGTTCACTGAATAGTGAATTCTGTTTGCCTTTGAGGGTGGAATTTGGGGCAATTTATACAGTTTTGTTTTGAGTTTTCTTTACTACTTCAATTTTCTGTATGTTTCATCTTTAAACACAGGAAGACTCAAGCTAGTTCAATTGCGAGGGGGTAGAGCAGTAGGGGCGAGAAGAGTTTTCATCATAAAAGTATCTCCATGTTAGTAGAAGAAAGAAAGAAAGAAAGAAAGAAAAGCTTCTGTGGTCCTACAGGCTGGGCGGTGGGCTTCCTTCCTCTTCTCCCCACCCCTCAACACACCTCCTTCTGAACTCCCCTGCGCCCACAGCCTCTCCCCAGCGGGGAAGGCGCAAGGCAAATGCAGGTCTCCTGAAGTCCGCAGCTCCCCGGAATCTGTTCCTGTGCCCCAGTCTCCCAATGAGGAATGCTGCCCACCTGACTTGCTGGCCTCTAGTTGCATAGAACTAAGCGATAGACAGAACCAGTTCCGGGGCGCTGGACGCTGGCAGCCTAAAAGCAGTGACTTGTTCCGGAGCGGCCAGGCCAGGTGTGGGAGCTTGTCGGAGGATGCACTCTATTTAAGAAACCCTTTTATTGCTCAACAATTTCCAACTGGGTCCCTGATCAGAAGAAAGAGGGCAAAGGCTTTATGCAAAGGCACTTAACACTGCGCCCTGACACCACAGTAGACTGCGTTGGGTTGTCGCTGCTTGGCGTCCGCGAGTGCAGCAAGGAGGTCCCACCTGGAACCTCGCCCTCCGCCTCCCAGGAGGAAGGGGGCCTTTGAGCTGCATCTTGAGGGGTTGGGAGTGACGGGAAAAATTTCCCCCTGAGGGTCCCAGGGAAGAGAATCGGGCGGGCGTTTCAGGTAGCCTGGGTTGTCTCTCCCAGGGGAGCAGGTTCTTGAAGTATCAACCTCAGGGGCGCAAGGGGACTCGCGCATTCCCGCCGTGCTGGGGTGGGGGGCTGTCCCCCCCCCCACCAGTCTTAGGGACGCAGAGCTGAATCCGCCAAGTGTCAGCCACGAGAGGCGGGGCGCATCGGGGCGGGGCCGGGTGGCGGATAGGGGACCGGAGAGCTTCATAAAGCCACAGCAAAGGCGCCGCGCCGCTAGTGACAGCGGCCCGCCCGCCGGGAGGGGAGCCGGCAGCTGCCGCGCGCCTGCCGATCCCGGGCGCAGGAGGCGGGCGCCCGAGCCCGGGCTGCGCTGGGGCCCCCCACCACGCCCCGGGGCCCGCCCCAGCCCGAACGCGACCCTCTCTCCTGCCCACTCCCTCCAACCCCCACCCCGACGGGCTGTGGAAAGGTGCCCGGCCCGCCCCGGATGGGCATCGTGGAGCCGGACTGCAGAGAGATGCTGACGGGCACCGAGCCGTTGCCTGCGAGCGACGAGGGCCGGGCGCCCGGCGTCGAGCTGCAGCACCGCTACTTCTACCCGGAGCCCAGCGCGCAGGACGCCGCCACCGCCGACCGTCGCGGGGGCAGCAGCCTCGGGGCGCCCTACGCGGGGAGCGCGCTGGTGCCTGCCCCGCCGGGCCGCTTCCTCGGAACCTACGTCTACCCGCCCCGGCCCCAGGCAACCGGCTTCCCAGGGGCGGCAGAGCCCTTTCCGCCATCGGCGGGCGCCGAGGGCTATCAGTCCGGGGATAACTACGCCGCCCCGGACCCGCGCACCAGCCTCTACCCGGGACCGCGCGAGGACTATGGCTTGCCCGCGGGGCTGGAGGTATCCGGGAAGCTGCGAGTCGCACTCAACAACCACCTGTTGTGGTCCAAGTTCAATCAGCACCAGACGGAGATGATCATCACCAAGCAAGGGCGGTGAGTTGGGCCCAAGCCTTTTTCCGTTCTTCTGGGTGGATGCTGTGGGTGCCGGGGGGACCCGTCACAGCTCAGGCTTCAGCTTTGGGGCACAGCGGGGTGGCAGCGAGGGCAGGGGAAAGCTCTATAGTGCTGTTTATGCCCGGAGAACTCAGCTGGGGAGACAGGCAAGTGCAAACGCAGTGGGTTCCCCGGATGAGGGTGGACATGTTGGCTACTTGGGGTAGACTGGGGCGCCAGGGGCTGCGCGCAGAACCACTGTGCACCCCGCTGCGCTTGAATGTGGTGGGAGAGGGGACAGTGGGTCCCTGGGAGTGCCTGTTCTGGATCCAAGAGTGTGAATGATCTCTTAGTTTCTCTCATGATGGAAACTGGGAAGATAGACTTCTGCAGAATGGGGGACAGTAAGCCGGTTCCCCCATGACCTCCCTCCAAACCAGTCCGCCTGCCTCTGTGGCGCTGTGTCAGCTCTGATGGCGATGGGGATGACGGGAGACCGGGATTTGGTGACATGGAGGAGCTGTGGCCAAGTTTTCTTTCCGGTCTCCCTTTGAGATGGAATGTCTGGCGCGGGGGGTGGGGGGGACTTGTTGTGGGGAAAGAGGTATGGATTCCTTTCAGACATGGGGGTGACCTGAGTGGCTGAAGCTCACCCAGGGTTAGGGTTAGCGGGGAGCAGGGGGCCAGGTTCTGCCGCAACCCCTGAGGTCCGTGACTAGAAGAGCTGTTTTCACCGGTGCACACTGTGGGGTGGGGGGAGTTGCAGGGAGAGCCCCATGCTGAGGGTTTTGGGCTTCCGGATGACACCTGCTGCGTGAGCAAAGAAAGAGAAACTTTTGCCGCGTGTGGTGTGTGTTGAGTGCGCCACACTCTGTGTGGGCCTGCCTGTGTCTGGTGTTTGAGAGTGGAGAGCCATCCTGCCCGGTCGAGGCCTGTGGGTGGAGAGGTGCCAGCATGATCTCTCTGCGGCCAGGCGATGCCAAGAGCAGGTGCTAAGTGTGAGGTTCCCTGGCTGAGGATGAGGCAAGAGTGTGCTGGGCCTCAGAGGTTGGCCTCGGACCTAGGCACTGTGGGGGCCTTGGTCTATCGCCAGACTTCTGTGGGGTAGCCTGGGACTTGAGGGATTTCGAGGGCTTTCCCTGCATGGTTGCTTGTGGCCCAGTCTTTGTCCCTTAAGCCTTTGGATACTCCATTTCCACTCCCCCCAAATCATAGCTCCCTCTGGGTGTGCCCCAGGCACAGGCTTCTGGTCCCCTTGGGTCTGGTTGGAAGAAACCAGAAAGTTGCAAACGGGGCAATGGCCCAGAAACAGCAAGTGACTCTTCCGGGGTCACACAGCACACTGGTTGGTGGCGGAGCTGACATCAGAGCCCAGATGGTCTCACCCTCTGGCACTCATGACCACCGGGAGGAGCAACCACCCATGCTGCCCACAGGCCCTGATGCATTCAGACTGCTTTCACTTCCAGTACCGCGTGGAGCCCCAGGCAGGTGGGCGGGCATGCATGCTCCATTCCACAGTTGGGGACCAACAGGAGCAGGGATATGCATTATACCACAGGTTGGGAACAGAGCCTCCCAACCCTGCTCTCTGTCAGGTGGGTGGAAGCCCCCCTGGCCCTGGGGCCTTGACTGGGGTCTTCTAGCCTTCTGGTAGGCCTCTGCCCATCCAGTCTTACTGGGTGTGTTGGACAGAATGTGAGCCCAGACTTCCGGGGTCTGGCGGATGCAGGGCTGGCTGCCAGCATAGCTGTTTCGGGGGAGTCTTGCCAGGGCGCGGGTCTCAGTGTGTCCCTCCGTGTGTCTCCTGTGGTCTCCTTTTCTCCGTCTTGCTCCTGTTGAAAAGTTCCCACTGGACAAATTTCATGGTCTCCCTTTTAGGCCCGTGCACTTGTATGTTTCACTAGAAAAAAAAAATTCCACTGTACACACAAGTGCACAGAAAACTTCCGCCACCATGGCCCGGCTCCAGCAGGTGTCTGTGGAGTAATACTCCGGGCTCATTTGCTGTTTCCCCTCACTCACTTCCACCCCTCCTGTCTGGGGCCATATTACTAAGACAGTAAATAATCAGTGACTAAATCCTAGAAGCCGTTTCATCCTCAGCTAGCTTTCTATGCATCTCTCAAAATGGCGTTCAGAAAATAAACGCAACACCGTAGGCAAACCTGAAGAAAGGTCGCAAACTCAAGTTTTCCTGATTGTTTTGCAAGTGCCTGCGTGTGTCCGTGTGTACGTATGTGTTTGTGCGGGCGTGTTGGAATCATCCCGTTTTTCGACTCATCCTAAGGGACCACTTTTAAGGCTACGGAGGGGGTCCCTGTTGGTTGATGCCTCCCCTTGGATCAGGTTTCGGGGGTCTAGTGCAGGGGCAGAGGGGACATAGAACCTACCACCCCACCCCAAGTCGGTCCGCCATCCCCGAGCCTTCTCAGCTGGGGTAGTATCTATCTGGGTGGCTGGTGGCCATTTTCTCTTGCTACAGACTGCGAACACTTTCTGGCCTCCAGCTTTGATGGCTGGCCTGTCCCATGGCTGATTCTATTGATCACCACCGTGTCATCCATGGTCTTCTTCTTTTATGAACTGCTCTTCCATCCCACCCCCCCTACAGCTGGGCAGCCTTTGGCCCTGGGCTGACTCACTTCGCCCCCAAGATCCTTCCTCAGCCACCTACTCGAGATCCACCTCCCACCCTGCGTGGACCGGGTGATACAGTCACACAGGGCCCTCGGTGTGGGCATGGGCCAGGGCCAGCGGGGCTGGAGGGTAGTGGTACTTCCAGCTCCAGGAGACAGGGAGAGGCAATGTGGGAACAAACTGAGGGACTGCCCCAGTGGGAGCCCCTGGATCTATCCCGCCATGCTGCGTCGTGTGTCTGGGGATCTGGGGGCTGCCCGCTGGAGCAGGTGTCTCGGGGCTGCAGGCTCAGCGTGAGTTGTGAATGAGCTGGTGAGGACAAAACAGTGGATGGAGACTTGGGAGAGGAAGAGAGGGGCCAGGACTCTGCAGTGCGTGTGGGCGTATATTAATTGCTGGTAATCCCCGCTTTTCTGAGTGTGATTGGTTGATTATTATAATTAGGATAACTTGGGGGAGCTCTGCCGTGGAGAAGCTCGGCTTGTGTGTACGTGTGTGTGCGTGGCATTGGGAGTGGGTCCTGTAACATGGTTCCAGTGTGGTCCTCGCCAACCTGGTAGCCACCGTGGTTTCCTGTCTACACAGCAGTTCCCAACCCCCCAGAACCTTTTCAATCTTTCAAAGAGCTCTTTCCTTTTATTTACTGGTTTGAAAAGCAGAGTCACAAAAAAGAGATAGAGATAGAGAGAGAGACGGAAATCTTCCATCTGCTGGTTCATTCCCCTAATAGCTACAGTACTTGGGGCTGGCAGCAAGGTCTCCTCAGCTGGTGGCAGAGGTTCAAGCACTTAAGCCAACACTTGTGCCAAACTAGGGGCACTGTGGCTAAATCCTTGCCTTGCAACCACCAGGATCCCATATGGGCATTGATTAGTGTCCCAGCTGCTCTACTTCCCATCCAGCTCCTTGCTTGTGGCCTGGGAAAGCAGTCGAGGATGGCCCAAAGCCTTGGGACCCTGCACCCACATGGGAGACCTGGTAGAAGCTCCTGGCTCCTGGTTTTGGATTGGCTCAGCTCCAGCCATTGTGGCTACTTGGGGAGTGAACCAACAGAAGGAAGATCCTTCTCTCTGTCTCTCCTCTTTGAAGACCTGACTTTCCAATTACAAAAAAAAAAAAAAAAAAAAAAAAAAGAAAAGTGGAGCAACCAGGACTTGCACTGGGATGCTATTGGCAAGCAGCAGGATAACCCGCTGCACCATAGTGCTGGCTCCTCAAAAATGTTTTCTTCCAGTTAAGCCTGCATTCTGTTAGGGCTCACTGGCTTTCCTGTCTTGGGGCAGGTGACAGATGACAGCAGTGTTGCGCTTGGTGTGGCTAAAGGTGAGTGGCTATCTGAGTGTGTTCACAGCTGGAGGTTCCTTGTCCTCCAGGCCTATTTTGTGTTTTGGTGGACAGAGAATGCTCTCCTGCAATGTGCCACCAGGGATGGAGGTTTAGCCCAGTGGTTAAGGTGCATCCTCTCCCACCTCAGAGTGCTTGGTTCAAGTCCCAGCTCCTGTGCTTCTGCACTTGCTGCCTGCTCATGTGCAGTCCGGGAGATAGCATGTGATGACTCAAGTACTTGGGTCCCTGCCACCCACGTGGGGCATCCGGATAGAGTCCCTGGTTCCTGCCTTCGGCTTGAACCAGCCCTAGATGTTGCAGGCATTCGGGGGAGTGAACCAGCAAATAGAAAAATCCCTCTCTGTTTCTCTGTCTTTCAAACAAAATGAAATATAAGGAACAGCATTGTGGCATAGTGGGTAAAGCTGTCATGTACTGCCAGCTTCCCCTATGGCAGCTGGTTCAAGTTCTGGCTGCTCCACTTCCAATCCAGCTCCCTGTTAATGTGCCTGGGAAAGACAGCAGAGGATGGTCCACGTGCTTGGGCCCTTGTACCCACGTGGGAGATCCAGATGCTGCTCCTGGTTCCTGCGTTGGGCCTGGCTAAGCCATCCGGAGAGCCATCTAGCAGGTGGAAGATCGCTCTTTCTGTGTCTCTTTCTTTCTCTCTGTAACTCTGACTTTCAAAATAAATAAATGGGTATCTTTTACAATAAAAAAGCAAACAAAATACATAAATAAATAAGAGGTGGAACCAATCTACAGCCCCCATCTCAGTCTGTGAGCGAGGATTCCCCACACCCTGGTCAACAGGAGGGAGTAGAAGCTTTTGTGTGTGTGTGTGTGTGTGTGTGTGTGTGTGTGTGTGTATTTTGCCAGCACGGTGGACAAAATCCCCTTGTTTTAACTTCCACTAAGTGACAGTGAAGCAGAGCCTATACCAGTGGCCCAGGAGCTGGGGCTGCTATGGTGACTCTGAGAAGCAGCGGGGGGCAGCAGAGTTGTCTGGGTTCTTGGACCCACAGTGAGCAGGGGCTTTTCTTTGGGGGTTGGGGTGGGAGTTGGATCTGCTGGTCCCTGCACCCATCTCCACTCCAGGTCCTCCCACCAGATCGGTATGCAAATCAGGGCTATTTTGGGATTCTGGCTGGTGATAACTGAGATCATCCTTTTCCTCTCTCTTCCCCTCCCCCCCCCCACCCGCCGTCCACTTCCTGTGAATCTTCTGTCTCCCATCAGGACCAGCTGGAGACCACCACCTTTGCTGGCTCCGCCTCCCACCAAGGCGCCATCACCCAACCTCTCCCGGCCTCAGCATAAAATTGGAAACATCATTAAAGATTTTATTTTATTTTGAAAAGATTTATTTTTTTTTTTACTGGAAAGACAGATTTACAGAGAGGAGAGACAGAAAGAGCTTCTATCTGCTGATTCACTCCCCCAAATGGCCATAGTGTCCAGAGCCAAGCCGAGCCAAAGCCATGAACCAGGAGCTTCTTCTGGGTCTCTTACATGGGCCACTTCCAGGGCTGTTCCACTTCTGATTCAGCTCCCTGCTGATGGCCTAGAAAGTAGTGGAAGATGGTTCAAGTCCTTGGGCTCCTACGCTCACGTGGGAGATCTGGAAGAAGCTCTTGGCTTTGACTTGGCGCAACTCTGGCTGTTGCAGCCATTTGGGGAGTAAACCAGTGATTGGGAGATTCTCTCTCTCTTTTTCCTTCTCTGTAAATCTTTCAAATAAATGCATAAATCTTTGAAAAAATATATTAGAGAGAGCAAGCAAGCTGGTTCACTCCCCACAAGCCTGCAAAGAGCAGAGTTGAGCCGGGGCCGGGCCGGAGCTGGAGTGGGAAAGCAATCCAGGCTTCCTTGGAACCCAGTGCCTTGGACAATGACTGCTGTCTTCCAGGGTTTGCATTGGCAGGAAGTTGGAGCCAGGGGCCAGAGCTTAGGGGCCCTGTGCACTCAGTCTTTGGGCCATGAGTGTCTTCATCATTAAGCTAAACACCCACGCCCGGCTTCAGGGAACCGCTGTGATGTGTCAGCTGGGGTGGCAACAGAGGCTCGCTAAGTTCCTGTTGCAATGCAGCCAAAGCCCGTGTTCCACGACCACCCTCCGAGGCTGAGATCCTGATAGAAATGGGCTCAACATGCCCCCTCATCCCAAGTTGTCCAAACCCTGGTACCTAACCTTCAATTTCTCAAGTTCACCTGCTACCGAGCCGCTGGGGGCCTGAGCCGGGCACCCTTAGCTTTTACTTAGGACTTAGGGTCTCCTGCAGCCCAGAGAGGGTTTTGGCTGCTCCTGGCCTGGGAGGAGCTGGATTGCCATAAAGGTAGAAGGGAGCCTGAGTTGACAGTCCAGCTTCCCCGGGGGCTGCAGCCTGGAGTTCCTATCACGATTTACAGCAGAGGAAACCTAGTTTTGGCTTGGTTATGAGCTAGCCATGGTCCCCGCCTCTGTTCCCCAGCCCTGGGTCTTCCCAAGGTTGCTCGGGGTGTGCCTGGGCACAGTCCTTCTTTCCATCCCGTGAGGCTTCTCACAGCGGACGAACGTGGGAGGAAGTTGTCCTGGCGAGGGTTGCAGCTTGCCTTCCCACAGTCCCACCACCAGCCACTGCCGCTGTCCCTGCTGGGGATGGAGGAAATAAGGCTGAGCCGCTGGAGCCGCTGCCGCCCCGATGCTGGTGGGGGTGTTGCGGGTGAGGGTGGGGGTGGGGATGATGGTGGTGACTGTGCTGGAGCTGATGGTGCAGATAGTGGTTAAGGTGACAGGGGAGTTGAAGTGACAGTGGTAGTAGAGGTGCTGATGCTGGAAGTGGCACCTCCGCTTCTACCAACAGTGGAGATGGCCAGGGCAGGGGAAGGCTTCTTTCTCAGAATTTTCTCTCCTGGAACACTGCCCCGGGGGATGTTGGGCAAGGCAATATATCATTCCCCTTTCTTCTCCCAGCGTCCTCTGCTGCTCCTGGGAGTGGGTATCAGAGCGTGAGGTCTGTGTGCTTGCGGTGTCTTCCTCCAGCGGGAAGAAGATCCAGGCTGGCGGCAGGCTGCCCTGCAAAAGGCGGAGCACAGGGGTGGGACAGGAAGGAACGGCGTGTGTGCGCACGCGCACCCTGGGGCTAGGAAGGTGTTACTACCGAGAGCATCACTGTGGAGATGATGAGTGGAGGGCCATGCAGGAGGGCCCTTGGGGACCCGCCTGCAAAGGCTGGCTCGTGCCCTTGTCCTGTCCCAGGAAGCAAACTGAGGGCAGAGGGAGGGTGGCAGGTGAATGTCCAGCAGCCTACCTCCTTCTGGCCCTGGGTGTGGTAGTTTGCCAATTGCCCTGGTATAAATACCCTGTAATGGCTGCGGGGCTCCCGGCGAGGTGGCACTGTGAAGAAGGTGCGTCCCTCTGCCTAGCACCTTCACCCCTCAGATCCAACAGGTTATGGCCATGAGTGCTGGCTATAGCACATACAGTCACCTAACGAGGAAGTGGGGTTTTTTACTAAGTATCTCTTACCGTGCTTTTTAATAGAATGTGTTTCCCGTCGTAAGTTTATAGAGTTTAATTTTGAATTTCGGCAGTGTTTCATGACTAACTGGCTGGCAAGCTTCTGGAACATTCTCCTGCTGGCTCTCGCGAGTGACAGAGGCGGCTCCAACAGCGCTCGGCTGTGCCCCTGGAGGCGGGCGGGAAGGTGGGCACGCTGGCTGCTGAACCGGGACTAACTTGACGCACATGGGACCTCCCTTGTTCTCCCTAGGAGGATGTTCCCATTCCTGTCGTTCACCGTGGCGGGGCTGGAGCCCACCAGCCACTACAGGATGTTTGTGGACGTGGTCTTGGTGGACCAGCACCACTGGCGCTATCAAAGCGGCAAATGGGTGCAGTGTGGAAAGGCCGAGGGCAGCATGCCAGGTACAGCCCGGGGCGGTGGCGCCCCCTGGTGGATGCCCGCGCCCCTGCTCTGGAGGCTGAGGGTTGAATCCACCCACTCCACCCTACCCTGTTCCTATCCTGCCCTGGCTTCCCTCTGTCTGTCATCTTTTCTCTGGCTGCACCTGCCCCTCTGCCCCCTGCACATTCACCTGCCCATTCCTGGGACTGCACGCTAAAGAAGTCAACTGTCCACAGGAAACCGTCTGTACGTCCACCCGGATTCACCTAACACCGGAGCCCACTGGATGCGCCAGGAAGTTTCGTTTGGGAAGCTAAAGCTCACCAACAATAAAGGAGCCTCCAACAACGTAACCCAGGTGGGACCTACTTCCTGGGAGGGGGCCCCGCCCCGCCCACCTGGAGCCACAGGTGCTCTGCCAGGGGTGGGGGGTGTTGTTTGCTGGGACTTCCTGTTCTTCCTCTCTGAATTGACTTGGGGAGGTTAGAGAGCGTGGGGGAGCCTCCTTGCAGGCGCGGCTCACATTCCGGTCAAACTGGCCAAGCCAGCCTGGGCTCACCCTGCGGGGGATCCTGGGTTCCCCTGGGAGGTGCCCTTATCCCTAAAAAGCCCTGTGGGTGCCAGTGGCTTGGTCACAAGGGACATCTGGGGGTGGCAAAGGGGGCACGAGGCTAGAGTTTGTGTGCCAGAGAGTCTGGGGCCTGGAGTTGGAAGGCCTGGGAGCAGTTGAGTGGTGGCCTGGGAGCAGATCAGAAGTGTTCTGGGTCCTTTCTGCCCTGCCCGTGGGGTGGCAGTGGGCCCCAGGGCTGTGGTGGGGAGGGCGGCGCTGGAGCTCCCACTGGCCGTCTGTCCAGATGATCGTACTGCAGTCCCTGCACAAGTACCAGCCCCGGCTGCACATCGTGGAGGTGACGGACGGAGAGCAGGAGGGGACCTGCCACCCCGCCAACACACACGTCTTCACCTTCCAAGAGACCCAGTTCATCGCCGTGACTGCCTACCAGAACGCCGAGGTGAGCGTTGTCCCCGACTGTCCTGGGAAGGCCAAGTGGGGTCCGCAGCCTCGGTGACTCTTGTCCCTTTCTCCAGATCACACAACTCAAGATTGATAACAACCCCTTCGCTAAGGGCTTCCGGGAGAACTTGGAGTCGTAAGTGCTGCTGAGCCCATGGCGCCCCCAGGGTGGGTGAGGACTTGGGTGGGGAGGGTCAGGGCAGACAGGTGCAGCAGGTGGTCTCCTGGGTGATCACTGCTTGCTTACTCACCCCCGGGGTCTGTTTCTTGTTTTCAGCATGTATGCATCTGTGGACGCCAGCGTCCCGTCCCCGCCTGGCCCCAACTGCCAAGTGCTTCCTGGAGACCCCTACTCTCCTCTCCTCCCTAACCAGTACTCGGTTCCGGGCCGTTTCTACCCCGACCTTCCCGGCCCAGCCAAGGAGATGGTGCCGCAGCCCTACTGGCTGGGAGGTCCCCGGGACCACAGCTACGAGGCTGCTGAGCTGCGAGCGGTCAGCATGAAGCCCGCATTCCTGCCCTCTGCTCCGGGGCCCGCCATGCCCTTCTACCGAAGCCAGGAGGTCCTGGCATCTGGAGCCAGCTGGCCGGTGCCCCCACAGTACCCTCCCAAGATGGGCACAGCCAGCTGGTTCCGCTCCATGCGGACTCTGCCCACTGACCCCTGCGCCCCAGAGGGGCGGGCACCGGAGGAGCAGGGCTCACCCTCGCTCTGGACCGACATCATCCCGCTCCGGCCCGAGGCGGGGGACTCCGGGCTGGGTGAGGGAGACTCCAAGAGGAGACGCGTGTCTCCCTATCCCTCCAGTGGTGACAGTTCCTCCCCTGCGGGGGCCCCATCGCCCTTTGAGAAGGACGTCGTCGTGGAGAGCCAGTTTTATAATTATTTTCCCAACTGAGCCGGTGAGGACGCAGTGTGAGACTGGGGGGCACCGAGGAGCTGGGAAAGAGAGACTCCGGCCGGACACCCCTGACCCCCTTGGTCCTGCGTCCCACAGCGGTTGATTTGTGGAGATACTGGGGTGCTAGGAGGCATTCGTGGGCTCGCTGGCTGCTTCCCGGCCCACGGTGGCTGTGTGGGGGTCAGCCTTGCCCCTCAGGCCACCCCCACTCCAGTCCTGTACCTGGTGCTGCTGCCGCGGGCTGCTGGCTCCCAGCCCCGTGGGAGAACAGAAACTGACAAAGAGGAGGCCTTGGCTTCCAGGGGTGTGGGTCAAGCGGAGAGGTCAGGAATCGGATCCTCTGCTTTCTTGCTTTGTAAAAGAAGCCTCCAATGGGGCTGTCTGCGTGTGTGCTAATCCCCGATCTGAAAATAAACGTACACGGATTTTATCACAGTCGGCAAGCCAGGGTCAGAGAGAGGGCTTGGGTGACTTGGGGCAGCTGGCCTGGGCCCCACCTGCTCAGCTGCAGTGGGGAGCCGGAGAAGGGGTTGGGACACAGTGGCTCGCAGCTCAGGACGCAAGGTCCGGTTTGAGTCAGCTATGTGCCGGCCAGCTTTTGTCTTTTCTTTCTCCTTTATTTTTATTTTTTGGACGGGGCGGCTATTTATTGTACAGAAAGTGGTGCCTAGATGTGATGTCTTGGTCGCCATCACTTTCTGAAAATAAACTTGAAACTGTTGCATGTGTTCTGCTTCTGTGCCAGCCTGGGGTGGAGGGCACGGGTGGGCTACTGCTGCTGTGTCCAGACTATTGGATGGCCCGCCTGCCTTTGGGGATAAACTGAGTTAGAGCAAGGCCTCGTGTCGCGTCCTCAGTGCAGCAGGCTGGTGGCTGGTGCTGCTTTGCACAGGAAGCATCTCGGTCTGCAGGTGCACCCTGACCTGGGGAGCAGGGGGCGTGGCCCAGGACCCAGCTGGCAGGCAGGGTGCAGCTCCATGGAGAGGCACGTGGTTTCTATACAGCTCTGGGGTTCAAGGAGGAAAGGAGTAAATACGAAGTGAATTGTATGGAATGGCCTTTATGGTAGATGAAGAACCAGGCACCGGCACTGAAGGTTAAGCCTCCATTTGCAACTCCAGCATCCCACATCCCAGTCCCACTGCCGTGCTTTCCATCCAGCTCCCTGCTCAGGGCCTGAGAAAGCAGCAGGTGATGGCCCAAGCGCGTGAGCCCCTGTCAGTGCATATGGGCGACCTGGCCGAGTTCCTGGCTCCTGACTCTGACCAGCCTAGGCCCTGCCTTATGACCACTTCAGGAATGAACCAGTAGATGAAAGATCTCTCTCTCTCTGCCACTCTCTTTCTCCATAACTATCTTTCAAATAAGTAAAATAAATATTTAAAGGGAAAAAAGCTTTATTTATTTAAAGATTTGTTTTATTTTGATTGGAAATTCAGATATACAAAGAGAAGGAGGGACAGAGAGGAAGATCTTCCGTCCGATGATTCACTCCTCAAGTGGCCACAGCGGCCAGAGCTGCACCAATCTGAAGCCAGGAGCCTCCTCCTGGTCTGCCCATGGGTGCGAGGGGGCAGAGTCCCGAGGCTTTGGCCGTCCTCAACTGTATTCCCAGGCCACAAGCAGGGAGCTGGATGGGAAGTGGAGCTGCCAGGATTAGAACTGGTGCCCACGTGGGATCCCAGTGTGTGCAAGGTGAGGATTCAGTCACTATTCCATCACCCCAGGCCCATGCTTCCACTTTTTTTTTTTTTTTTTAATTTGAGAGACAGAAGGAGAGAGACACATACATTAAGGGACAGAGAGAGAGAGAAAGAGCGAGCTCCCAACTGCTGATTTACTCCCCAAATGCTCTTAACAGCTGGGACTGGGCCAAGCTGAAGCAGGAAGCTGGAGACCCAGTCTTCCACATGGGCGGCAGGAGCCCGGTTTGGGGGCTGTGACCCGTTGCCACCCAAGGTGTGGAACTGGCAGGAAGCTGGAAGCAGGGCCAGGACTCAGACCCAGTGATTCTGAAATGCGACACCAATGTCCCAACCAACACTCTGCTAGAGCAAATGCCCACTCCCCAACTTTCCCTTTACTTCCACTTTCCATGGCATTTTTGCAGTGCTCCCGTGCCAGGGGAGGGGGAGGGGCGGCAGGTGCGTCCAGGCACTGTCCTGGGTTCTCTCTGGACCGTCATCCCGGGGATCCCTGTGTCTCTCGTACATTGAATTCCCCGTTTGCTGGATCACTCCTTGTTTTGCTAAAAGAACATCTTCAAGGAGCGTCTGGTGCACAGAAGGCGAAACTTCAGAGATTTACCATGGCTTTTATTTACTCACACCTCTGAGTGACAGTCTGGGATATAAACATCTCAGACATTTTAAGGCATTTCCCCATTGTGTTTTAGTTCTCAGTGTTGCTGACTCTCAGGGTTGATGCTGCGATGTAGTGGGTAAAGCTGCCGCCTGTGGTACCAGCATCCCATATGGGTGCTGATTCAAGTTCCTGTTGCTGCATTTTAATCCAGCTCCCTGCCAATGGCCTGAGAAATCAGCAGAAGATGGCGCAAGTGCTTGGCTCCTAGCACCCACTTAGAAGACCCGTATGAAGCTCTCGGCTCCTGGCTGCAGCTTCACTCAGCTCTGGCTGGAACATTTAGGGAGTGAACCAACAGATGGAAGCTCCCTTTCTGTAACTCCTTCAAAGGGAGAGGACAGAGGGAGGCTCACCTTGGTGAAACCAAGCCAGGGCAGCCAACAACAGGCTGGCCAGGACCAGAGGGCACCCTGCACGGGGATACTCTGCTTCCCCCAGGCCAAGGGGCATCTCTTCAATGTGGAATCAGCAATAACTCTAGTCTTTTGAAGCCTTGTATTACAGAAAATGCCAAACATGAAAATATTCCATGCGATTGAATAGCTATGAACGCTTTGTCATATTTCATCTGCTTTTCCAAATTTATTTCGAAGTAAATTATAGCTATCAAGCTATTTCACCTCCAAATATTTAAGACTGTATCTCCCAAATCAAGGACATTTTCTTACCCAATGACAAGAACATCCTCACACACACCTAACAAAATAATTTCTCTCTAAAAGGCTGTGGTTGATTTATTTTCATTTTTATTTTATTTAATTTGAAAGGCAGAGAAGTCGAGAGAGACAGAGCCTCCGTCTGTCAGTTCATTCCCCTAAATGCCCGTTGGGTCGGGAACTTCATGTGGGTCTCCAATGAGGCGGCAAGAACCCAAGTTCTGGGGCTGACACCTGCTGCCTCTCAGGGGCCATCAGGAATTAGAGAGTATGGAGCAGCCAGGACTTGAACTTGAATTCAATGTAGAATGCAGGTTCCCAGTGGCAGCTTAAGTCTCCCAAGCCTCATCTCTTCACTGATACATACGGGCTGCTTACATGTAATGTGACTGTCCCTTCCTCCTCTTTTTCAGGAAGATGTTGGGATTTTTTTTTTTTTTTCCTTAAACATCCCCCAGTGAAACCATCGGGCACTGGAGAATGTCTTTTTTGGGGGAGTTAGAAAATTAAAACTTTAATTTAGTTAATAGACACCAGCCATTTACATAGTATATTTCAGGGGGTGGGTCCTGGGCGCAGCAGTTAGGGTGCTGCCCCGTATGCCCGCATCCTGTCCTGGCTGCTGAGCAGTGTTCCAGTCCCAGCTGCTCTCCAGGTTCTAGCTGTCTGCTGGTGTGCAACTAGCATGCAACAAATGACTCAGGGACTTGTGCCCCTTTTATGGTGGGCCCAGATTAAATTCCCAGTTCCAGACTTCAGCTTGGGCCAACCCTGGCTGTTGAAGGCTACTGTGCCAGGCCCAGATCTCACTCGTTTAAATAAAAATGAATGGGTCCAGTGTGATAGCCTAGCGGCTAAAGTCCTCGCCTTGCATGTGCTGAGATCCTGTATGGGTACTGGTTTGAATCCCAACTACTCCACTTCCCATCCAGCTCCCTGCTTGTGGCCTGGGAAAGCAGCCGAGGACGGCCCAAAGCCTTGGGTTCCTGCACCCACATGGGAGACCTGGAGGAGGTTCCTGGCTCCTGGCTTCAGATTGGCACAGCTCCAGCTGATGCGCTCACTTGGGGAGCGAACCATCGGACAGAAGCTCTTCCTCTCTGTCTCTGCCTTTCCAATAATTAAAAAAAAAAAAAAAGAAAGAAAGAAAGAAAGAAAGAAGAAAAGAAAAGAAAGGAAAAAATGAGATCTTTGTTTCTTTTGTTTTCTCTGTTTTTTTCTATTTCCAAATTCACAAATGGCCTCTGTTAACTGCATTGCTTCCTTTGCTCTGTTTTGGGTTTATTCTGGTTAGATTATTGATTTAAGACTTGTCTTCTACAAAAATGCGCGGAGTACTGTCCGTTTCTCCCTCAGCACTGCCTCCTCCGTGATTCAGCAATGTCATCTCGGCGGATTGCAGCGTTCACACAGCACAGCTTCAAGAAAAGCATCCTGAAATGTCTCTTCCGACGTATGGATTATTTCCAAGTGTATTGTTCAGTTTTCAAGTTTTGGAGATTTTCCTGTGATTGGTTTCTAGTTTGTGTGCTTAGAGAGCACGTTCTAGACAATTTCAATTCTTTCAGAATTGTTGAGTCGGGTTTATGGCTCAGGATGTGGTCTGTCTTTGCATATGTCTTGTGGGTACTTGACAATGATGTGCATTCTACCGATGTCAAGTGTGGTATTCTACGGATGTTACCAGCTCCTTCCACGGTATGAATTCCGTCTGCACGCTTGCTCTGTTCTGCCTAGTTGTCGTGTCAGTTGATTCGTTAGATGTGTGGTTTTATTTAAGTTACGTGAGCTTTGGATGCACGTGTTTTGTGAGTTCTTGCTTTGTGTTGGGGTCAGTATGGCTTCTCGATAGACGGAGCCTAGCATCATAGTTGGTTTGCTCATTAACTGTGAAGTTTACTATCTGGTATTAATATCCCCACTCTTGGTTTTTTAGATTAACATTTATTGACATGTCCTTTTCATCCTTTTATTTCAACTTATCCGTATCATTTTATTTTTAGTGAGTTTCTTATAGGTGGCCTGTGGTCAGGTCATATTTCTCCATCCACAATGCCAATTTCTTTTAATTAATATGTTTAGGGCCCGGTGAGGTAGGCTAGAGGCTAAAGTTCTTGCCTTGCATGCCCAGGATCCCATAAGGGCACCAGTTCATGTCCCAGCTGCTCTACTTCCATTCAGCTCCCTGCTTGTGGCCTGGGAAAGCAGTCGAGGACGGCCTAAGGCTTTGGAACCCTGCATCTATGTGGGAGACCTGGAGGAAGTTCCTGGCTCCTGGCCTCAGATCGGTGCAGCGCTGGCCGTTGCAGGAGACCGGGAGGAGGCTCCTGGCTCCTGGCTCTGGATTGGCTCAGCTCCAGCCATTGGGATCACTTGGGGAGTGAACCATCAGACTAAGATCTTCCTCTCTGTATATCTGCCTTTCTAATTAAAAATAAATAAATCTTTAAATAAGTAAGTCTTTTAAAAATAATAAGACCCTTGATTGAATTTTGAGTGATAGGGGCGGGGCCAGAATGTGGGTGTGGAGGGCAAGAAACAGGATGGAAAAAGTATAGTGAAATTCCACAAGTACCCACAGGAGGGCACCCTATCTTCCTCATCAAAACCCACTTAATGGAGCAGGAGCCTCAAGAAACTTGCTGGTTTTTACAGTGTTTGTACGTCCTTACCAAAGACGCCATGGTCGGAAGGAGGCCAA